TGAAGTAACCTAAGCAAAATCCCCCCAAGAAGGGATGTTTAAGGTCACTCCCCTAGAAGCAGAGAAACCAGAAGCCAGACCTCGGCTGTGGGACTATTCCTGGGCCAGAATATAGGCCTCGTCCCTCCTGCCTCGTGAACAATGCTGTTCATGGAAGGATCCCTGAGCTGGGCTCACCTGGCTCTGCCGGCCAGGAATGGGGCAGTGGAATGTGATCGTCCTTTACATCTAAATGATAATCCAGACCGCGATAAACCGGGACATAGCTGTGCCCTGGGAGATTCCTGACAGCATAAGTAACTAATTTTTGAGAGAATGAACCACCCCTTCAATTAATTTTTTTCTTGAGAACTGACTCAACTGAATTGTGTTTGCTCAGGTACTATATGGTGAATTTCTGCCCTGGTAGAAGTTGCTATGAACTGAGGAATATACTTTAAAGTGAGGTCCTCTATTCTTGTTTAAGTTCCACGGGTTCTTCTCTGGACTAACAGCAGCATGCTCAACACCCTGAGGAACTACTTATTCAGACTTCAGAGTTAAACTGGCCTGAGGGCTAGTTTTTGAGCCATAATGAAAAGCAGCAGATTTCTCTACTTGGTTTATAATGGGTTATAGAAACAACACCTGAGAATCATCACATAGTATTTTATCTTTGACAGTTAATATAATTCTTTTTGGATCAGTAGCCATCAGCCTTTGGTAGATATGATATGTCTGAAAAACTTTCTGAAATGTTTTATTTTGTAACTAGTGAATTTCGTCATTCAAAACAGTCAAATTTTGTTTTAAATTACTGTTTACATTCTATATTATTTTATATTAGTTTCAGGTGTACAGCATAGTGGTTAGACAATCATATACTCTACAAAGTGCCCCCCTCTATTTCTAGTACCCACCTGAAACCGTACATAATTATAATATTATTGACTATATTCCCTATGCTGTACTTTATATTCTGTGACTATTTTGTGACTACCAGTTTGTACTTCCTAATCCCTTCAATTTTTGACCCAGCTCCCTAATGCCCCTTCCCTCAGGTAACCATCAGTCTGATCTCAGTATCCACGAATCTGCAAACCAATCAAATTTTAAACATAGTAAAGGCCATGATAAGGTAATTAAAAAAGAAAGGTAGGTCTTATAGTAATTATAAACTCAGTTTGCTACAAATAATTGAAATTCAAATTAGATTGTCTTCGTTCAGAAAAGGAATTCTGTTGTAAGCAGCCCAAGAATCTCATGCTGGTGTCCCACAAAAGTGAGGACTTTACGTACTTTTCTTGTTTAACCTAGAAACAAAAAGTTTATAATCTAGAACAAAAAGATGACCTCAATTATTTATCCTATAAAAAATACATGTGGTTAAAATCAGAATAAATGGCATGCAACACTGAAAAAAAATGTGGTAAATAATCAAAACAGAGCATTTTTTTTTTTACCATAAGTGTTGGTATATGAATCTTACATCTCACTGTAAATCATTTGAATTGCAATTCTCATTCAAGGGATTGTCTTTATTTGATGCTTTATTTCTTCCCGATATCTCAACCATCCTCCATAAATATTTCTACCTTATGGTGAAATTGACTATATGAAGGCAATAGTTCATTGATATAAAAAATTAGAAGGGATACCTTTGAAGTCAAATATATTGAATGTTTTTGTATATAGAGCCTGTGAGAATCAATTTATTACTGAGCAATGCCAACTATGTATAAAAGTATCGAAGTAGCCACTAAGATTTTAGTGAGATGGTGACTTTAAATTATAGAAAATATGTCTGTTTTCCTCGCGTATTCCTACAGGTAAAATTCCATTAAATGAAACACGATTGTGTGTAAATAAAGCATTTATTTGAAGGCATGGCCTTGCAATCAATGCCTGTTATTCTAAAGCAAAAATATGCAAGAGATTCTTTAGAAGAGAGAACCCACTTTTTAAAATTGTCATCATTTAATTATCCTCAATTATATGATTATTATATGGCTATCTTGTTATCTCCCTCACAGTTCTGTGAGGAAAAGTAATTATCCAGTAGCTTACAACATGTGCAATTTGTCTTATAGTTAAAGTAGATGCTCATTCTGTCTATAAATACTTAGTGAAGAGGCAAATAATTGATTACCACCAAGAAGACTAATTATCTATTCTAATTTGAGATTATCTATTCCCCTTTCTAGCCCTCTTGGCTGCACAATTACATGACATTTTATGAAACAAAGGGATGGTACTGTTTTTGTTCTATTTAAAAATAAAAGTAGACTTGTGAAATGCAGAAGGATTCGAATGTTTGTCTGAAGTGAAATTTTAAATACTAAGGCACTTCCTAATCTCTGTACTTTCAGTAGAAAGCTGTAGATTTGAGATGAAAAAAAGATTGCTTGAATATTGGGTTAACTGCTTTCCTCAGCTCCCAAGTGGCTGTCTCCATATGGTTTTCTTTGACTCTGGGACTAGTCACCAATAACCATGTGGAGTTTTAGGAGTTCACTGTAACTCGACCTAAGATATTGCACAATCCTTGTGGTTTTTCTATTCCTTGCCTATGCCATGACCATCCCTGTATTAAACTCTTTCAAACTAGTCTATTTTGAGTGCTCTGTCTCTTTCCTGTTGGACCCTAGTATAGCTAGTTCTTCTTACTCATTTCCTCAGGAAAAATTCCACTAATAAACCAAATGTTTATTTAAACAAAGCATTTATTTAAAGACATGGACACAGTGCATCAATATCACAAAAGTGTAATGCTTAATAAATGTCTGAATCATTTATATATTGATGGAATGTATTCAACTAGAAATGTCTAAATATAACAACCATCCAAACCTGTTTAGAAAGATTTCTGACAAACATCAATATATCAAGTCTACCTTACTTGAAAAAAATATTTTAAATCATTTCTATAAATTTATTGAATTGCTTATATGAAAGCACAGAACAAATTAGATATTCCACTTGGAAATATTTTCAAGAACACAATTTATTTTTACAAATGTGTATTTAAAGAGGGATATTTACCTTTTCACCAATTTCTCCTTTGCTGCCTTCAACACCTTGCTCTCCCTTAGAAGAGAAATATAATGTGTATAATAATAGGAATACTACTTTTAACACATGTAATTATTACACTAATTATTATAACATTTATAACATTGAAAAAATCAATAATTATAAAGACCATTTCTAAAATGAAAGCTCTAAACCAATATTAAGTTACACAAAATTTAAACATTCCTAAATACTGAAGGAATAATTTTTCTAGGGTATAAGCTACAGCTTCACTACGGCCAATGAAATTTAATCTCCATAAAACTTAATTTCTCTCTATATAGTTCCTTTCTCATAGGTGGTTTGAGAATTGAATGCATCAACATAGTGCCTGGCATAGACTGAGTCATTATTGTTACCATTTATTTCACTAGATCCAGTAGAAACATCCTTCTCAAGCCGACGTCTATGACTCCGGTTCTGGTGAGAGCTGTGTGATGAACTAGCTCAAGTTTGAATCCCAGAGTTCTGGCGCCAGCTCTGACGCCGGCATCGTGCTCTTGGTCACCCAGATTTCCTGCCTCTCAGTCAGAGGAAGGGGATTTGCTCTCAATCACATTTATTCTAAAAGGTATAAGTCCCCTGTTCTTCAGCTAAACCCTCTTTGATCTGACAAACATATTTTCCCACTTAATTCTGCACAGATATTTATCCTGATGATGTTTCATTCATACGTTCAACAAATATTCTTCGAACACCAAATATATGTCAGACATTTATGACAACATAGCCGGCAGGTAAGTACAGGGAAGAGCCATACTCACCCCTCCACCCATAAGAAGCACTTAGCAAACGTTTCCTGAGTGCACTAAGACAAGGGATGAAGGGATTCTTACCTCCAGTTTTTTTCTTATTGTAATGCTACAATGAGGTAACACTTAATATAATTAAAATTCATGTTTAAAAAAGATTGCCAGCTTTTACTACATAAAGTCTCTTCGTGTATATTCTATATATAACATAGAATCAAACGTATGTATATGTGTATATGTCACATACAAGATTAAATAATTATGCTTCATCTACCCTCAAAAAAGGTAGGTATCAGAAAAGAAAATAGGTCAGTGTTCGGGTATATTTGCCACTGAATGCATGGCCTATCTTTTTTTCTACCATTTTCCCTAAAACATAGACTTTAACTTGATCTGTTAATTCAAACTGACATAGAAGCTGCTAAACACCCCAGTACCTCAGCCACAATGACAGCATGGTGCAGCCACCACAAACAGCTGCTGGAAAGTCCAAAACTATTTCCCAGCAGATAAATCTGCACATCCCTTGGCTTGTAACTTGACTTGCAGAAGCAGCACATGCTGTAGCAATGGGTTTTGTCTAGAGCTCCCGTGAAGAAATTCAGACACTTGCTAATTCATCGCTGCCAGCTCAGTCTGATCGTCTTTATCAAGCCAAGGAAAGGGAGATTTTTTCAAAAACTGTAACTATAAATGCATATCTTTTTGAATAGTAATTTTTAGCTACAGAGAAAAACCTAGATGCAACAGTAACTTCTGTTGCTAAGACCTGTAAAACTTATCCAGAGCATAGAAATTATATGCTTGGCTTTGGTGGGCATCCACTGCTGCATCAATAATGCTCTCCCCTGTGGTGGGATGATCTGGGTGGCATGACAGACAGCTGGCCCCTCCTGAAGCGGCTCCCCATCCCTCCAGGAAACTGGAATAGACCAGCCTCTGTGTTTCCAGTAATACTGATCACACACACGCATACTCCTTCCCAGGAGGAAAGGAAGCTGTTGGACAGTCGAGGGGTAAAAGTGAAGCTCACCTTGGTTAAGAGAAAGATACCTGGCACAGAAAGGAGGCTCACTGATGCAAAAACCCTTATTCACTATGAATTTATCATTCTGAGTGAGGGGTACTTATGAAGAGGTTAGTTGCAGCATATTTGTAGTATTTAATAATTTGTCATTGTAATTTATTATGCTTAGCTCAATCGGGGATCTACAAAAAGGAACAGAAATAAGAAATAACCAAATACAGTTGAAGGTAGTAAAAACTGTTCCATTCTTCATTTTAGACTCTGTCAAATAACAGTGAAAACGTTCCCAGAGCAGCTGTGGCCACTCCCATGGCCCCTAGAAAGCGTCATTGTTGGGGTCTCTGGAGAAGCCTGTTGCCGAAACTGTGATAAAGTATCTCCTAAAGCGGTTGGTCCCTTTGAGAAGGGATTGCTTCTACGGGCTCTCTTTGGAAAGACTGAGAAGTGGTTTTTCTTTGGAAAGATTAGTTAGTGGCTTTCTAAGTCTTTCAGGGAATTCAGTTTCATCAAATGCATTTCCTGACTCTTCACTATATTATATACAAATTTAATTTTGAGGGTGTTAAAATTCTTAACTTATATGAAACATTCAAAAACTCTTTACCTTTTGACCAGGTAAGCCTGGAACTCCATGTAAACCGTTTTCACCCTAAAGGAAGTACACAGAATAAATGCTATTAGCTATAAAAAACAAATAAGTAAGAAACTTTTGCAGTCTTTAATAACTAGCTCTAATGTTGCAGGGAAAGGTAACCTAATTCAAGTGCAGGGTGCTTTCCATCTCTCTCTTATCTCATGAATCCAGGATTAGTACTTCCATTTAGAAAAATAGGGAAATGGAGACTCTGAGAGGTTCAGCAACATGGTCATGGTCACCCAACTGGTAGCATTACCTGAGATGTGAACTGAGGTTTCTGACTCTATAGCCCACCTTTTCTCACGTGCTACTCAGTATCCCTTATTTCATCTTCTCTTTCAATATTATAGTCAGACATAGGCTTTCTAAGGGCCAGACACTGTACTCATAACAAACCTATCAGGCAGATGCTATTACTATGACCACATATTACAGGTGATTACACAATCAATAGGAGATAGAACTGAAATTCGAACCCACACACTCCAGCTCTGTATACCTAACCACCACCCTAGACTCTCTCATAGAAAAGATTTAATTCTGGTTTGTAAGTGATCTCTTATCTAAAATCTGAATCTATCTATCTATCTATCTATCTATCTATCTATCTATCTATCTATCTATCTATCTATCCATCTATCTATCATCTATCATCTATCTATCTATCATCTATCTATCTATCTATCTATCACCTATCTATCTATCTATCTATCTATCTATCTATCTATCTATCTATCTATCTATCTATCTATCATCTATCTATCTATCTATCTATCTATCATCTATCTATCTATCATCATCTATCTATCCATCTATCTATCACCTATCTATCACCTATCTATCTATCTATCTATCTATCTATCTATCTATCTATCTATCTATCTATCTATCTATCATCTATCATCTATCATCTATCATCTATCTATCATCTATCATCTACCTATCTACCTATCTTCTCATATATGTGTGTGTGTGTATATATATATGTANATCTATCATCTATCATCTATCTATCTATCATCTATCATCTATCATCTACCTATCTACCTATCTTCTCATATATATGTGTGTGTGTATATATATATGTATATATATACACATATATGAGCATGTTTTCTTTCTTGCTTTTATCTGTTGATTGCCTTTAGATCAATTTTGAAGACATACCCAATGCCACTTTAGTTGAAACAATTACTTGGGAGAATTTTTAGTTCCTTCCATTCATTGTGCTCCTGTCTTGGGTAAAAAGGTTTCCAGCAGATGCCAATCAGTTTCCATTACTGGAATTCATGGGTCATCTCTCTGACAGGTCTGGTTTGTAAACAGTACACCAGCTAGAATGAGATACTCCTGGGAGGATGTGCATGTTCTCAATAGAGGCTTAGGAATTTAGCTGCTTACAGGAATTGACTTTGGCTCCTGAGTTTCAGGTATAAACAGCTCAAAATAAACTAACAATTCCACTGACCTGTCACGTTCCTAGCAAACATAATTAATTTTTAAGGCATTACCTAAAGTTAGATATCATTTCTTAGAATTCCTTAAATAAAAATTAAACTATATGAAGAAAAATATTGCATTTTCAAACTTTAAAAATATGTATATTCTACCTAAATCTAAAGAGGTCTTTAGTTTTTCATTAATTGATTCATTTACAGAGGTGTACTGCTATATACAAACATATTATTATAAAGACTAGGCAGTTTTTTTTAANTGCTATATACAAACATATTATTGTAAAGACTAGGCAGTTTTTTTTAAATCCTCACCTGAGGAGTGAGGATATTTTTTCCACTGATTTTCAGAGAGTGGAAGGAAGAGGGAAAGGGGAGAGGACGGGGAGAGACAAATATCAATGTGAGAGAACCACATCGATTGATTGCATCCCACATGTGCCCCAACCAGGGGCACGGATCGAACCTGCAACCCAGGTAAGTGCCCTTGACTGGGAATCGAACCTGTGACCCTCCCTTGCACAGGCTGACGCTGTAACCACTGAGCGATGCTGGCCAGGGCAAAGACTAAGGCTTTTTTAGATCAGATTAAATTATCTAAGTGTTCTGCAGTAAAACGGCTATTATCAGAGTATATACCAAACACTAAAGGCAACATTTTGTTGCTAATGTAATTAACTGTTGAAGCATCAATAAAATATAATGTGTATATTCATGGAATAAATATGCTTGTATTATTTAAATTTTTGTTGTATTTCTAGACCTCAGGTATCATACAAATGTATTAAGAACTTCCAATTTCATTTGATCGAGAAATTGTAAAAGTACATTAAGTATTTGATGCCAGGGAACATTCTATGGAAATTAAGCATCTGTTACTCATCAGAGAAATATGTCCACTTGTCCACAAAGAGCAGAATTATTTTCATCTGTTGGTTCAATATAATGTTTTATATCATATTACAAGTTACACATGATAACAAGATATGGCATGTAATCGAGTAAGGGACACTGATATAGTGTACACTGCCAAAAATACTTTCTGGGGGGAAAAAACAAGTAGTGACAATATCTCCTCTTTTTCTTTGCTCACAGCCCACTCCTGTGTACCATGTGCTCTGAGTACTCACACCTACAGTCCCACCTCTGGCACATGTCAGGTTAGGGTTACACCCAGACAAACTGTTAACTGGGTACCAAAATTCTATAAAGTTGTGATATTAAGAACATTTCTCTCTTTAATAGACATGGTTTTGGGGTGTTTTTTGTTGCAATTAAAATGTGTTTTCTTGTGGCCAGTGTTATTCAGTTTCGGCTCTTTCTTGACTAGAAGTTTGTTTTGTAAACATAGTTCTAAACTCCAAGATAACTCAATGGTCACTTTGGGGCCTTTACTTTCATAAGAAATGAGTCGATTTCACATGTCACACAAACATGTGGAAGATTTTGAGNGGGGTGTTTTTTGTTGCAATTAAAATGTGTTTTCTTGTGGCCAGTGTTATGCGGTTTCGGCTCTTTCTTGACTAGAAGTTTGTTTCGTAAACATAGTTCTAAACTCCAAGATAACTCAGTGGTCACTTTGGGCCTTTACTTCCATAAGAAATGAGTCGATTTCACATGTCACACAAACGTGGAAGATTTTGAGATATTGTTGAAACTTTTGAAGTTTAAAGTTTACAACTTTGGTATTCAGAAACTTTGGTATTATTTTCTCCTTACTGATTTTCTTATTTTTTTAATTGATTTTTAGAGAGAGAGGAAGGGAAAGCGCACGAGAGAAACATTGACGTGTGAGAGAAACATTGATCGGCTGCCTCCTGCATGCATCCTGACTGGGGATCAAACCCCAACTTTTTGGTGCGTGGGACGGTGCTCCAACCACTGAGCCACACCAGCCAGGGGCTTACTGATTTTCTTGAAGTTAGTAAAGATGTCCTACTAGAAATTTATAATCATTTAAAATCTTCTGTCATTTTCTAGTCTCTATCTCAAAAAAATAGATTTATTAAGTAGCATAAAAGTAAAGAAGGAAATAGNTATAATCATTTAAAATCTTCTGTCATTTTCTAGTCTCTATCTCAAAAAAAAATAGATTAAGTAGCATAAAAGTAAAGAAGGAAATAATCTTTGAGAACGTAATTTTTTTAACAGATAAATGAATGATGATGTTTCTGCTGGGACTTTATCTAAATGCTGTGTCAACAGATGAGTCCCTCTTTATGCTCACTCTCAAGTGCAGTTTCAAAGCTCTGGTGCCCACGCAATGTGGGGTCAAACTGAATTCCATCTATCCAAAAAATGCCAGTAGACAACTACTGGATGGGAAGACATTAGTTGCTTTTTCTAAACTCTTGTTTTTCTCCTCTCCTCCCAGTCTCAGCACAAGAAAGAAATAAGAAGCTTTTCCTTTGGTTTCCAATCAATGTTTTAGACCATTATTGAAAGAAAATTACAATCAATGTTTCCCATAGGAACCATAGTTTCAAAACTTGTTACTGAGGCATGTTTCCTGTTACAGGTTTTCCATCAAAAGGCCTGTGTACCTTTCCAGTTACAAATTCAAGCTACAGATAGGCAAATGAATACATGTGAATAATATAAAGTGGGGCAAAATCTAATGCTGCTGCGGACAGCATTTTTTAAAATTTATTTTTAAATTTATTGTTGAAAATATTACAGATGTCCTCCCCCGCATTGATCCTATTGTAGCCATGTTGTTACTGTAATACACAGCATGTCTTCAACTACACCCTTTCCAGAATTCAAAGGAACCTCTTTGAGTGCTGTTCACCTGAAATTAATACCAAAAGTGTTGAATGCAAAAAAAAAAAAAAAGAAGAAGGAAGAAAAAGAAAAAAAAGTAGCCTTTCTGAGAAGATTTTGGGGGGGAAATTCAGTGTAATTTAGGGCCAGCTGGTGGCTTTCTGAAAAACTGATTGAAGTACTTTATTTTTTCCTCCTTATGATCACTGCCCATTTCCCTGAAGTAAACACAGCTAGGCATAAAAGATGAATTACTAGTTTTCCGATTCATTTGATATCGGAATCAATGTCTTGTTTTATTATGCAGGAAATACATGTTGTCTAAAGGGCACTTGATAAGGAGTCACACTCCCCAGAGCTATCGCTTGCAAACCTAGTACCATTGAGACCAACAAAGAAAGGTAGATTAAGTAAGTAAACAAAAATTTGCTAATAACTAGATCTAAGCTTAGAAAATAGGAAGTTATCTACTATGCTCTGTGTGGGGTTTTTTCTTTAAATAGGCATTCAGCCTTAGATTAAAAGTCTGAGATTCTATTATAACTCTGTTTCCATATTTAAAAAATAACAACCTATTATTTCACTTAAAGCAAGTTTTCTAGGAACATAATCTGTATGAATTTAGTGTACACTTAGAAATATATAAATATTTCCCCACTAATTCATATTTATTAAGAGAAAAATTTACTGAAATTGAATGTTGAGTGAAGTAGCTATAAGAAACATCTGCAGTGGATGCCAAAATTCTGGCATGAGAACCAATAAAAAAAATAAGTGGTTAAAAAGAAATCTGAT